CTGCTGGCCGGCTGGCGGGTGCCCAGCAAACCCCTGCCCCGTTGCGTTTGCCACCTCGGAGCTGGGCGTTTGGCGAGCCGCTTGATTTCACTGTGGGCCTCGTCAGCTGGATGGGGGAAGCAAGAAATTAAAGCCGAGCCTTTCGTGCCATCAGAGCGGGTGGACGCCCCGAGGCCCTCCGGTTTGTAGGTTTGCTCCTCTCTGCCCTCGCTTTGCCTTGCTTCCGTAGAGGCATCTCCTGTGCCCAGGCCACACGTTTTGCTTCGCCTCTGTATTGCTCAGGTGCTTTAGCTCAAGCATAGCTCCAAATAAGGCTGCTGGATTTTTTTAATATCTTAACTTCCTCTTCCTCAGTCCTGCTGCATTTCAGAGACCTGTTTGCAAGTCAGTGCTGTGTTGAGAACCCCAACAAACGGAGCAGTAACTGTGGGTCCATCACCGAAGACTGACGAATGGACTGAAATGGAGCAAAATTCAGGTTTTTTTGCCCCTCTCAATCTCCAGGGAAGTCAGTTTGGAATAACTAAAGGAAGGGATCAGTAAAATGCCCTAAAGCAGCATCTGAGCCAGAAAGTCTCTGGAGAGCTGGGATCAATAGGAAGGTAATAGCCTTGCTGGAAGGGGCTCGGTGTAACGTTAGCGCTGGGTAAACACTGCAACAAGAGCCCCGTGTTGCTCAATCACTAACGCTTGTTTTCTCCCTGCTGCCCACAAAGACCCGGACTCCTTCCTGAAGTCCGCACGTCTCCAGCGCCTGCCCTCGTCCTCGTCCGAGATGGGAAGCAGGGACGTGTCCCCTCTCCGGGAGACCAGCAAGGACCCTTTTTCTGGAGACTGCAGCTGCCGGCAGGATGGGCTGACCGTCATCATCACTGCCTGCCTGACCTTCGCCATGGGGGTCACGGTGGCCCTGATCATGCAGATCTATTTTGGGGACCCTCAGGTAAGACAAAACATGGCTTTGCAGTCAGGCTTCAGCTCCAAAAATAGGTGCGATTCCACCCCAAATCGTCTCAGAAGCCTTCTGCTGCGGCTGGGGGTTGTGCTCAGGGAGGCGAGCGGGGCTCTCAGCGCCTGCCCGCGTGGCCGTGCCTGGCAGGGTTGGGGGTGTTGCTGGAGGCAAAAGGGCAGCCCCGCTGCTGAGTCTCCAGCTGTGGTTTGAGCCAGATGTGAATGCTTTCTGAAAGCAATTCGTAGTTAAGCAGTAGAAGTCTTTCGTACTTCTCCCTTGAAGAGAGTTTTATGGATCTGTATGCCCGGGCTCGCGTCTGGAGGGGTCCGTCCAGCACCAAGCAGGAAAACAGCCAAGAACAGAGCTGAACCTGCTGCTAACCTGCCCCACAGACCAGTGCTAAATTGCAGAGCAAAGGCAGCGTGGCCATGGGGTCGTACCTTCCTGCAGGACATCTCTCAAGTGCTGCAGCCTGCGAAGGGCCGAGGGGCAGCCGGTAGCCACCCTCAACTTCTCCACGTGGCCACCC